TTCCGACGGCATGGCTGCATGGCTCCTTGCCAGGGTGAAAGCACATCTGGCAAGGATTCGTTTGCACTCGATGCAAAATTGAACTTCAACTTCGTTTGCTGTGTTTTACACGATCAGAGCGACTTCACAGTAAGCAGTTTGCTGTACCAGCTTATGCATGCAGCAGCGCCTTGATGAGTCTGAGGCGAACTCTTCAAGCTGCGAGCTGTGCAGGATATCCCTGCTCAAGGTTTCTTCGGCATGGTCTGAGTCTGAGACTGCAGCTGCAGCCCAGTCCTAGAAGTGAATGAGGATGGCATCCGCTCAATCTCCAAGCTTGTGTGTGGTACAACAGAGAAGTAGCCGCGTTGTTTTGTGAAAGGTTGGTCAAGGAGTTCCATTCGAAGTCGTTTGTGAAGGCCAAGTTGAGACTGGCTCTGTGTTTCCAAGGACGTGATTCTGCGTTGCGGGCCAAGCTTCCAGAGTTTGGAATCCTCAGCTGGCTTTGAATGTGGGACGCTTCAGCCCGCATTTCACGAATTCTGAGGCATCAGCAAGCCGTGGGTTTGGAGCGGCCATGCATGCGACCAAGCGTGGCTTTGCAAATTTTTCCGGCATGAGAGCAGGGCCGCAAGCCAGGGCGCAGCACAGCATGATCCACGACTCGCAAGCAGCAGTGGTGGGGTGGCCTTCAGGATTCAGCTACGATAGAGCTGCGTGCTTGACAGCTCACAAGCATTGTGGGCTTGGACTACGTCTGGCACGATTCCTCCCGCAACGACTCAAAACAATGAGACCAGTTTCATCAGGGAAGCAAGGAAGGACAGAAGCATTGTGGGATGGCTGAAGCGGGGGAAGTAGTGCAGAAGAATAGCCAGAATGATGGCGGCAACTTGCATTCGCTCAAAGACACAGGCCAGTGATGAATGCTTGGGACCTGCGTGAGGTTGTATTGTAAGAGACGGGGATCTTGGGGTTCATAGATCAGCCAGCCCCTTCCTTCTCCTTTTGCGATTGTCGAAGCCGTAGGTGATGAATGTGGAAGGGGCAATGATTAATGAAAACGGGTGAGAACCGTTGCATAGCTGCACCAAGACCAGAGCAGGCATTAATGACCGAAAATGCCAAATACACAAAGAGTCGCAAGGAATTGTTGGACAAAGGTTAACAGTACAACATCTGGAGGAAGAGAAACATGACAAAGAAAAAACAGATGCAACATCCGGGACTGTTACAGTAGGTGTGCACACAAGCAGCTTGCACGATGCACAAGGGTTTGGAAGAGTGGCTACCACCGCTGAAGTTGTGTTGGGGTTTGCACGAGCGCCTGTCCAAGGTGAAAGAGCTGAAAGAACACGCGGACGATGTGGCCATGGCCCCAAAAGTTTGTATCTGGCATTGGGAAAAGACAGGCAATGCAAGCACCTCTGCTCAGGCGCGATTTAAGATGTGAAGTGCAAGAAATTTGTATCGGCAGTTGGCGTGGAGCATCTTTGCCTCCAAGCAGTGGGGTGCTCACCCATTATACGGTCAGCCTTGTCAACGGAACAGGGGCGGTCTGCAGGTCGAGCTTGCAGAGCAGATCTAACAGATCAGAGCCCGGATTAAATGATTGGCCTTGTAGTGCTCGCGATGCCCTCCCTGAGCCTGCTTCACGGCAGGCAGGCTGACGGTTTCTCTTTCTTTCATTGTTTCTATCCTTCTTGCCATCTTTTTGTATCTCTCGCTCTCATCTCTCTCTCTCTCTCTCTCTCCCTCTCTTTCCATCCCGCGCCTGCTCCGCCTTCTCCTTCCAGGTCTTTCTATCTCGCTCTATCTCTCCCTCCCTCTCTCTGTGACCCTGGGGCAGCGGCAGGTTTTCCTGCCTTTGTGCTTTGTCCGCTCCCAGTCCGTTTGCACCTGCTCCCAACTAAACAGAGCCCTGGTGCTACCAATACCTGGTGCAGCGGTTCCATGAGTACTGATCTGCGTCTATCCCAAGCTTTCCCCACGACCTAATCATATCGAAGCCGCTCCTCCTCAGTGATGGGCACCATTTGCCATGCTATTTGACTCTCGCTGACCTTGGCTTGCTCTTCCTTTGACATTTGATCTTGTGCCTGTCCTGTGCTTGAGGTAGCTAGCTCATTTTGGCACGGAACTTTCTGAGGCCATGACGGTGCGAATGCACTCTCGCCAGGCCGCCAAAGACAGGCACCACTGGCCACTGGACAAAGCCTGCTACTGTCGTGAAGATATGGGTTGCTTGACAGAAGGCTGGAGACAATGGCATCAACACCGGCATCTTCCTCAATGGCCTCAGCCACCATCAGCATCAGCCTAAGCTGTGTCAAAGGCTTATCGGGCGACTGTCAGGGTTCCCTGGGCCCGCACGGGTGCAACGTCGCATAGTGTGGTATTAGGAAAAAGCACTCCAGTGTCATGTCTTGAGGTCAGTCAGGTGAAGCCATGCCGCTCATGGAATCAGTGCTGACCTTTGGCACTTGAGCTTGAATCGATGGACCAGTGTGACTGTTGCAAGGTGTTGAAAAAGGTTGAGGCATGTCGTAGCAATCTGCGAAGCTAGCTGCTAGCCGCTAGAACCATGAAGCTGAGCGTCCACCAGCAGGCTACAACATGTCCACTATTAAGGCTCAGGATGCAGACCAGGCCGAGCGAAGCAGTGACTCTCATGTGTCGAAGGACGTGATTGTGGCGTCAACGGTTTGGACTAGCTTTAACCAAAGCCACAGGTGCGTGCCATGCAGGCGATGCACGGTGAAATGTGCTTGATTCCCAGTTGCTGTTTGCTATTTTTCTTGCTCATGTCTGCCGTTCTGTGCATGGCCAGCTAGGTGACGTCGCAAAGAAGCTGATGGATCGGTCCTCGTGCGGTCCTCGGTTTCCACCAAATGGAAAGCAAGTTGCTATGCGTGGCCAGTGTTCCTGTCCAGAGGTACAACATCGGTCAAATCAATTTCTGGAGAGCACGTAGCCCAGTTTATTTCATGACAAGGCAACATGACATTTCAGTGAGCCTTTCGTCAGATCGTGTGGGCTGCAGCGTTCCAGATTGCGGGTGTGGCATTGTGGGCTCGGGGCTCAGCTCTTCTGGTCAGAACGTAAGACCGCATAGTGCGTCCGGTTGGCTATATAAATGGGTCAGGGTGATGGGAGTGCAAGGCAAGTGTATGGGATTGTTGCTTGTTTGGTGAAATGCTGCGTCCTCCTTACTGCTGTGATTCTGGTCAGGCCTTGTTGCTTGTTCATATGATTAGCATTGCCAACGTAAAGTCCTGAGACTGCAGTACGCAGAGCGTATTTCAATCAGGGCAGATGCAGCTCAAGTCATCTGGATCCAGGCTAGAGCTACATCGTGTAATCTGAGGCCAGGCCACCAAGCCCCCTAAGCGTCCTGGGTGAGCTTCAAAGCTTGAATTCAAGAACGGCACAGCACCAAATACAGAGCGACAGCTGGTAGCAACTACTTGGTGCGCGGTGTAGACCCGCCCGTGGTACGGAATGAGGA